CCCTCCCTCTCTCTCCCTCTCTCTCTCCCACACTCCCTCCCTCTCTCCCACACTCCCTCTCTACTTCTCTCTCCCCCTCCCTCTCTCTCCCTCCCTCTCTCTCCCACACCCTCTCTCTCTCCCTCTCTCCCCCTCCCTCCCTCTCTCTCCCTCTCTCTCCCCCTCCCTCTCTCTCTCTTCCTCTCTCCCCCTCTCTCTCCCTCTCCCTCCCTCTCTCTCTCTCTCTCCATAGGGATTTTGCCATGAAACTCGCCAACGTTTTGGCGGAAAACCCCAACACCGCCCTCCACATCCTGACGCTTTCGCACAACCCCCTGGAGGACAAAGGTGATTTGCGGAGCTAGGCCCCACCCCACCCCACCGACCCCAGGGCTCCCCACAAGTTTGGGGGGTGGGGGCTTCGGCTCCCAGGATCCTGACTCGGCTGGAGTTAGGGGTTCTGAGAGTTTGGACCCCACCACATCTGGAGGGCGCCGGGTTGAAGATAGGGGATCCAGCCTCCTCGGCAGACACTGGACCCCGCCGAAGCCTGTGGGATGACCTAGGCTTCCTTTGAAACGGGGGCGAGGGGGGGGTCCTTGGGGGAAAGAGAGCCTGACCCCTTTCTTCCCTCCCCTCCGTGCAGGCCTGGGTGCCCTGAGTCAGCAGCTCCTGTGCTTCCCCAAAGGCCTTAGCAAACTCTGCCTTTCCAAGACCGGCATCACTGCGAAAGGTACCCCGGGGCACCGGTGGGGCAAAGGGAGCAGGTGGGGAAGGAAGAGGGGGGGTCCGCAAAGGAATCTGGAGCAGAGACGCTGCGTTGCCCTCCCTTCCTTTTTAATCCTTTGCTCCAGAGGAGGGAGGGAGGGAGGGAGGGAGGAAGAAGGGGAAGGAAGGAAAGAAGGAAGGGAAAAGGGAGGGAGGGAGGGAGGGAGGGAAGGAGGAAGAAGGGGAAGGAAGGAGAAAGGGAAGGAAGGAAGGGAGGGAAAAGGGAGGGAGGGAAAAGGAAGGGAGGAAGGAAGGAAAGGAAAAGGGAAGGAGGAAGGAAGGAAGAAAGGAAAAGGAAGGGAAGGAGAGAGGGAGGGAGGGAGGAAACAAAGGGAAGGATGGAGAGAGGAAGGGAGGGAGGGAGGGAGGGAGGGAGGAAGGGTGAAAAGGGAGGGAGGGAGGGAAGGAGGAAGAAAGGAAGGAAGGAAGGGAAAAGGGAGGGAGGGAGGAAGGGAGGAAGCAAGGAAGGAAGGGAAAAGGGAGGGAGGAAGGAAGAAAAAGGACGAAGGGAGGGAGGGAGAAGGGAGGGAAGGAGGAAGAAAGGAAGGAAAGGAAGGGAAAAGGGAGGGAGGGAGGAAGGAAGGAAAAGGAAGTGAAGGGAAGGAGGGAGGAAGGAAGGGAGGAAAGAAAAGGAAGGGAAGGAGGGAGAGAGGAAGGAAGGGAGGGAGGGAGGGAGGAAAGGAAGGAGGGAGGGAGGGAGAAGATGGAAAAAGAAAAGAAGGAGATGGGAAAAAGGGAGGAAGGAATGAATGAAGGAAAGGAGGGAGGGAGGAGGGAGGGAGGGAAGGAAGGAGGAAGAAAAGGAAGGAAGGAAGGAAGGAAGGAAGGAAGGAAGGAAGGAAGGAAAAAGGGAGGGAGGGAGAAGGGGGAAGAAGGAATTCACTACTTTTATTTATACGTTTATATATGTATGACTGAGTGGCTAACAGAACAGAAGCACCATATATAAATTGAGAAAACGTGGATTCATGGCAGTTTGGGGATTTCAATCCATTTTCTATTCCAGAGCAGTATTTCTCAACTTCGGCAACTTGATGCTGGGTAGGCCTCAACTCCCGGAATTCCTATTCGGGCTGGGGAATTCTGGGAGTTGAAGACCACCCCTCTTCAGGCTGTCAAGGTGGAGAAACACTACTCCAGGCTAAATGGGGACCCTCCAGGTCGTGAGGCCTTCATATTCCAGAATTCTCCACAAGGGCTCATAGGTGTTCACTAGACTTCAACTCCCAGGATCCCTCAGTCAGTATAGCCACTGCAGGGAATTCTGGGAACGGAAGTCTTCCCACCCCAGTTAAGGAAGTTGGCTTCAAATGGTCAAGACCCAGAGTATCCTCCGCTTCCTTCCTCAGGACTTGCCGTTTTGTGCCAGACCTTCAGTGCCAACCCAGCATTCACCAGTTCTCTCCGCCATCTTGACTTAAGCAAAAATCCCGGCCTTCTGGGCACTGACGAGGCAAACGTGAGTGACTGACATCGCATCCCTTCGTCTGGAATGGTCTAGTCCAGGGGTAGGCCACCTTGGCTCTTTTATGACTCATGGACTTCAACTCCCAGAATTCCTGAGTCAGCCACGCTGAGGGGAAAGGGAGAGGTTTCCAAGCTGAGCCATGCGGGCTCAGGAATTCTGGGAGTTGAAGTCCACCAGTCATCAAAGAGCCAAGGTTGCCTACCCCTGGTATAGGGTTTCCTGCCTGAGCAGGGGGTTGGACTAGAAGACCTCCAAGGTCCCTTCCAACTCGGTTATTCTCCTCCTCCTCCTCCCTTCCTTCTCCTCCCTTATTCCTCCTCCTCCTCCTTTTTAAGAAGAGACTGGACAACCATTTGTCTGAAATGGAATAGGGCCTCCTTCCTGAGCAGGGGGTTGGACTAGATGAACCTCCAAGGTCCCTTCCAACTCGGTTATTCTCCTCCTCCTCCCTTATTCCTCCTCCTCCTTTTTAAGAAAAGACTGGACAACCATTTGTCTGAAATGGTCTAGGGTTTCCTGCCTGAGCAGGGGGTTGGACTAGAAGACCTCCAAGGTCCCTTCCAACGTGGTTATTCTATTATCCAGCTGCAGTGAAGAAGTTGGGGAGCCAGATCACCACATTGTGCAGAAAATCCCATTCCAGATGAGGATTCCATGTTTGGAAGGAAGGGGGGACCCAATATTATAATATTATAATCTCCCCGTATCTCCAGAATCTGGAGAGTTCCAACGTGGGGAAATCCAGCATTAGACAAGTAAATAAAAAAAAAACACGTAGTAGAAGTACAGCTAATCCTTACCACGATCCGTTTAGTGACCGTTCAAAGTTACAACGGCACTGAAAAAAGTGATTTACGACCGTTTTCCACACTTATGCGCCTTATGGCCTCCCCAGAGTCACGTGATCAAAATTCAGACGCTTACCGACTCCTATTTATGACAGTCGCAGTGTCCCGGGGTCACGTGATCCCCTTTTGCGACCGTCTGACAAGCAAACTCCGTGCGGGAAGCCGGTTTCACTTCATCGTAAAACGGGGCAAAACTCGCTGAACAAATTTTTCCCTCAGCGACGTCAATTTTGGTCTCAATTGTGGTCGTAAGTTGAGGACTACCTGTATCCTGGTTTATGGATGCCTTTCCTTTCTTGGTTCCCCTCCAGAGTTTCTACTCGTTCCTGGCACAGCCCAACGCACTGATACACCTGGACCTCTCCTCCACTGACTGTGCGGTAGACGCAGTAAGTGTCCATGGAGGTTCTCCGTCCTCCAGGTCAGGGTTGTCCCAAAACAGCTTTTCTCATGAGGCAACTGGACTTCCTTGTTTTTCTTTGAAGACGTTTCGCTTCTCATCCCAGAAGCTTCCTCAGGTTCTGACTGAATGATCGGGAACAGAAGGATTTATACTGCTTGCAGAAAAACTGGTCATTTGCCTCCTTTTAGAGGGTCGTTGAGGCCACTTGGAGGTTTATCTGAGTCCTCAGTTGTTTCAAAGGTGCTTTTTTCATCAGACAATTGGACTTTCTTGTTTTTCTTTGAAGACGTTTCGCTTCTCATCCCAGTAGCTTACTCAGGTTCTGACTGAAGAATTGGGAACGGAAGGATTTATACTGCTTGCAGAAAAAATGGTCATTTGCCCTCTTTTAGAGGGTCGTTGAGGCCACTTGGAGGTTTATCTGAGTCCTCAGTTGTCCCAAAGTTGCTTTTTTAAGAGGCAGCTGGACTTTCTTCTTTTTCTCTGAAGACATTTTGCTTCTCACCCAAGAAGCTTCTTCAGCTCTAACGGATGGTGGGGGAATGGAAGGATTTATATACTCCTTGCAGACAGCTGGTCATTTGCCTTCTTTTAGAGAGTCGTTGAGGCCACTTGGAGGTTTATCTGAGTCCTCAGTTGTTTCAAAGGTACTTTTTTTCAAGAGGCAACTGGACTTTCTTATTTTTCTCTGAAGACGTTTCGCTTCTCATCCCAGAAGCTTCTTCAGTTCTGACTGAATGAGTGGGGAAATGGAAGGATTTATACTCTTTTGCAGTCATTTGGTCATTTGCATTCTTTTGGAGAGCTGTTGAGGCCACCTGGAGGTTTGTCTGTGTCCTCGGGATCTTTACCTGAGCCTGTTTTCAACAGGGAAGGGACACAGGTCGGAAAACATCCTGCAGCCAAGATGGCTCCACACCCATTTGCACTGCTCAGGTGACCCTGAGGACACAGATAAACCTCCAAGTGGCCTCAACGGCTCCCTAAAAATGCAAATGACCAGCTGTCTGCAAGGAGTATTCCCCACCATTCAGTCAGACCTGAAGAAGCTTCTGGGGTGAGAAGCAAAATGTCTTCAAAGAAAAACTAGACAGTCCAGTTGCCTCCAGAAAAAAGGCACGTTTGGGATAGAATTTCAGACAACACCTAGGGGGACAGATTGGCTACGGAGTACTTAACGGGGCGGATGGCAGCCTGCGATTCGTTCAGCAGGACCACGGTTCACCTCGCGGTGTGGGTTTTCTCTGTTTGTGTAGCTTTTTAGTGCGTTGCTGCACGGCTGCTGCCCTCGTCTCTGCTACCTCAATCTTTCACGAAACACCTTTTCCCACCGGTAAGGATAATATTGGTTTTTTCTTCAATATTTTGCAAGGGGAGAGTGGGGGGTGTCTGTTTTTGCCCCCCCAAATAAAAGGAATCCTCTTTCCCCCAGGAAGGGAAAAGAATTCCCGCCCTCTCTGAAGCAGTTTTTCTGCAGTGCCTATTCACTCAATTGTGTGAATCTGTCCGGCATCAGGGTCCCAGTAGAAGCCTTGCGGTGAGTGTCAAACACGGCCGCGGACCCACGTGGGGCGCCGCCTGGAAGAAAACCGGTGTGTGTGGTTGTCTAACGTGCAATATCATTGGGGTGTCGAGTCACAAAAAGGAGCTAACAACCCTGCGAGGTGGGTTGGGCTGAGAGTCAACCAACGTTTCAGGCCTAAAGTGGGACTATAACTCACTGTTTCCTGGTGATGGGCCCAAAGTCACTCAGCCGGCTTTTATGCCTAAGGCAGGACTAGAACTCACCTTCTCCTGGTAATTGGCCCAGAGTCACTCAGCCGGATTTCATGGCTAAGGCAGGACTAGAACTCACCGTCTCCTAGTGATTGGCCCAAAGTCACCCAGCTGGCTTTCATGCCTAAGGCGGGACTAGAACTCGCCGTCACCTGGTGATTGGCCCAAAGTCACCCTGCTGGCTTTCATGCCTAAGGCAGGACTAGAACTCGCCGTCTCCTAGTGATTGGCCCAAAGTCATCCAGCTAGCTTTCATGCCTAAGGCAGGACTAGAACTCACCATCTCCTGGTGATTGGCCC